CATTACCATGATGTATGTATTGCAACAATAATAATAATAATAAGTCAGCATAACAATAACAATAATAATAATTCAGCATATTAGAATGATTTCTGAAGGATCATGGAGTAATGGCTGCTGAAGCCTTGAAACTTGATTTTTTTGTATGTTTTTGAAAGTAGTATCTTATTTGATCAAAAATACAGTAATAAAAACTTGAAATGTCTGCTTTCATCGTTGTAATGGACTGTCTACAGATTACAGAAGGAGATAAAAACAAGCAAATGTGGTAACTCAATCCATCATTTCCCTGTCCCTGCATCAGGCTCTTAAACCACCCACCCGAACGCCCCTGTAAGGGTTCTTCCATAAAATTTTCAGGAGGCATTCATAGAATCTTCAAATTTACATTTTATTAACTGCAACGCTCATGTACTGATCACAAAGGTGCAGGGAAAAAATGTGAAAAACCAAAAGAAAAGAAAGAAAAACTAACTGATAAATGAAACATCAGTTCTGGGCCTCAGATGTTTCTCCAGGGATCCCTCACCAGAACTAAATCAGCCATAGAAAAATCACACCCTTTTAACAAACAGATCAAACCATTTTATAATTACAGGGGGTCTCAATTCAGTACCTCAAACCTCAATGAAAAAGAAATATATAATATATACAAATAAACTCTATAAACATATGAAATTCCATTCACCATAAAGCAATAATAAAATAAGCTGGAAAGAATGTCCTTTATAATAACACATTCAAATGAACAAACAATCCAAACCCATATGGTACCCAAACCTACATTTCCCATAATTCCTAGCAAAGGATATTTTTATAATTAAAGGGGGTCTCAATTCAGTACATCAAACCTCAATGAAAAAGAAATATATGATATATACAAATACTCTATAAACATATGAAATTCCATTCACCATAAAGCAATAATAAAATAAACTGGAAAGAATGCCCTTTATAATAACACATTCAAATGAACAAACAATCCAAACCCATATGGTACCCAAAACTACATTTCCCATAATTCCTAGCAAAGGATATAAAGGACATCAGGAAATGCCGCTTTTTAATAACAAGCCTTTGTTCCATGCTGCAGTCGTGGATCCCGGCAGAACCACGGGTAAGATACACAATCATTCAATCAATTAAATAAAGAAAATATTAACCCATATCTTGTCTAGTTGTGGTTTTTCAATCTAGTAATGAATTGTTGTCTCGCTCTTTGATCTTTAATGCGCGCATAAGAGACAACATGCACCACTAACACAAAATGTGTTGGGTAAATAATATTAAAGAGACAAAATAAATACATATACATTTATAAACAAGCAAACAAACAATTAATCCCTTAAACAAAACAAAATAAATTTCTCCTACAAAGAAATGAAATAAATTAAAAAAGAAAACTAGAACGATTGAAATAAACTAGCCCAATTATTAAGTGTGGCCTTAGCCATCACAGCCCCCATTCTTAGGACTGATCAAGAAAACCTAGGATTCCCTCAGTCATCAATGTGACAGCCTGTACCATATCATTAATATATGGGATTTCAATTATGGAGGGATACAGGTATCCTGAAGGCTTAGTCTCTCATCTATAATCCAGTCTTCCCCACAACCTTGAATATTTCATACCGAGCCTCTTTCACTGCTGACACCACATGATCATGCAGCCTTGTAAAGTGCAGTACTGTCAAGTTCAGGACTGTGGGTCAGAGTGCAGCAGATGAAAGCTGAACACTTTCTGATCAGTGAAGCTGTTTTTATTATCAGTAAGGGTCATTCACCGTCTTCTGTCACACACGCTCAGTACAGAATCAGGAAAGGATGGAATTTGGTTTTTCAATTTTACAGCCCACTTACACTGGTCACACAAGCAATTTAAATGTAATTTCAAATGTGCAATCATGCATCAGATGTTATTAAATCAAGTATGTCACTGGAGATTTGCAAATACAAATAATTCAGCAAATTAAAAAAAACATTCAGCAAGCAATAAAGATATAGTTACATAACATGCTGACAACGTGGTTCATCTGGTATTCACACAACAGGATATAAGGAAGAAAAAGACACAAAATAAATAAAGTAAGGACAAAAGTACAGAGTATTGTTTTTTTTATATGAAACATGGATTCTTTCATACAATAACATCTCAGTCATTTAATGTGTGTGTGTGTGTGTGTGTACACAATGCCATAATCACTAACATCCTGAAAAAAAAGATAAATTATGCTGCTTTAACAATGACAATTAACAATGCTTAAAGATTGTTTGACATGCCATTTTTTAAGGCACATTTTTGACCTGAATGACAAAAATGTTCAGACCATTAAGGCAACATTAAATGATCATTATCCCACAACATTAAACACATAATAGACCGTTATCTTGCTCATCAGTGCGATTTCCTCACTGATGATGAGAGAATTACAAAGCTTGGCAAAGCTATTTACTGTACCAGTCATGTGCAACTAACAAAACAGTGAAAACTGGAACCATAAACAGACCCAATAGAAATATATCCATGATTATTAAAGAAAAAAAGTAAGTCTTTGGATGTAACCATTCAAAAGTTTGAGGATGGTAGGATAAGTAATAGTGTGAAATATTATTACAATCTAATACAACTGTTTTCGCTTGAATACATTTTAAAATATAATTTATTCCTGTGATGCAAAGCTGAATTTACAGCAGTCATTACTCCAGGCTTCAGTGTCACATGATCCTTCAGAAATCAGTCTGATTTGCTGCTCAAAAACAGTAATTTATTATTATTAACATTTATTATTATTAAAAAAATGGACCCCAAACATTTGAACGGTAGTGTACGTTATCAATATCAGGCAATATTAACTTAAAATGTACAAAAGTACATATTTCCATATGACATTTGTATTGCATAGAACTACATTAATGCAATGCATTCTTTTTTGGCAGAGAGTGGGCTCACACATAGTCATCCTGTGACTAAATGTGTTGGTGGTTTTGACCTTTGCTGGGGTCAGATATGTTAATGAGGTGGTTAACAGCACAACAGAACAAATATTTACCACACACAAAGTCTTACCACAATGAGAACAAAAGCCAATAAAGCTGCCCATGCAGGGAGTAAACAGCTGAGGCTGAGGCTGAGGCCTTGTGACCATCTGTCATAACCAACGGCTAAACTTTGATGATCAACTAATGCTAAAGGAGCCAACGGGCTTAAACACTCCATTGGCATGTCGAAATCCCTACTGTGAAATAAGGGCAGCGAGGAAGAAAGAGAGCCAAAACTGAGAAGGAATCTGAAAGTGCTTTTTTAAGGCCACATCTGTAGTCCTCCCTGAGCAGCCTGGCGCTATGGTGGGATTTAAAGTTGTAGTGACCTTTTCTTCGCAGTGATAAATAGCACATAACTCCGTGCCGGTGTGAATGGTAACTTAATAGAGTGGAACTATTTTATGATGAGGTCTCCTCATAACTGATCAACCACAGAAGCATCTGAGTTGAGGTGACTGCATTTTATTTTCTCAACAGTCCATTCAACTTAGACATAAAAACAGTCCAAATGTCAATATTTGTGGGCAGACTGCCCTTCATCTTGGTGTGACGATATATGACTGGATGAGTTAATCACTGTCATCTTTAAAGGACATGGCAGACTATGAGCCCAATATGGCTCAAAGTGGTCCATCTCTGGCTTTGTGTGGTTACTATGAACTACAACTGCTTTTTCATTGGAATATTACACATTATCATTCCACTTTTCCCAATCAAAAACTTTGGATAAAAATACATCTTTTACAAAACACTGGCACTAACAGTAAAGTGAAATTATTGTGCTAAAAAGGGACTAATGATCTGAGATAACGAAACAAAACAAATCTGTCTGTTTTTCTCATTTGCAATGCAATCATGCATGATAAATCAGTTGCGCATTATAAATGTATGGCATACCCTCATGCATTTCCACTGATATGGTTTGGTAATTAAAGTTAGGTAATAAAATCATTCATCAGCAACTGGTTTTGACTCAAAGGCTCAGGTTTAAAAGCCTAACATTAATCTGCTGCTTAAAATGTGGATTTTTGTGTGCAACTATGCAAGTAACAATGATTTAAGTGCTCTAAAATGAAAAAGGACCACAAATTGTTGACAAATGAGCTAGCAGTGTGAATCCAGTTTGTGGAAGATACATTTGGCACATGTATTTCCCAGCACTTCAATTGCACAAAGCGCATATTGGCTCTCACAAAAGCTAGCAAAAATACAAATAATGTAAAAATAACAAAGTGAAGGGGCATTCATTTGTCTAGTTGTTGTCAATCTGTAGGCTGGATTAGTAAAAATTATAATTTTTTGGTTGATGTAAAAAAAAGAAAGAAAAGGTATAAAGATGTCCAGCCGGTGCATATAAGGCCTGTTCACTCTTCTTTGAATGAAAAACGTGCTACTTGGTAAGACGTGAATAATTTGAGGACAGAAAAAAAAAAAAATGAATATGCTACAGGGTTCAACAGACTGAAACCAAATTGAAAGTCTGGGATCCAAAATCTAATTTAAAATGAATTTAATTAATATATATATATACATCCCACTCAGCTATAAATGGAATTAAAACCAAAAAGCATGACAACTAATCAAATACAAAATATTAGAACTTCTACTTCTAGACCACTAATTTGTGACATGGAGCGTGTGAACTTTATACAAAAGATCAGATATATATATATATATTTTTTTTTTTGCTTCCCCAAATAAATTAACATTTTCAATGGAACTTTTCACACAGATTGTCATGCTAATAATGCAATTCCGAAAAAGAAAAACATTCAATAAAATAATAAATATATGATTAAATATAATCATTAAATCTAAGTTATATTAAATGAGAGAAAAGCAAAATGGAATTTTTTTCACTAGCAGTCAGACTTTTGAACCCCACTGTGTATTAAAAAATTAAATAAATAAATAAATAAATTTACAAAAAGTGAAAAAGTAAAAGCATGTAGTTTTGCTGGTAAGAAGAAGCATGTAGAATATCCTTATTTAGGAGTGTTGATCGCCATCATTACTGTAGTGATCTCAGCCCAGTTTGATTCTGGTGTCCTGGCCGTAGTAGCTCACCTGGAGCAGAATAGCAATGTCAATTAAGATCTGTACCGCACCACAGACCACGAACTGGGTGGGGCTTTCATTGATCACGAAATATGTGGTCTTAAAGATGTCACCAGCCGTCCATAAAAGCACCATCTTTACACTGAAAAAGAGGGAGAGACAGAGAAATAGAAAATTGTATTGAAGTATTCAGAAATATATGTATATATGTATGTATATATATATATATATATATATATATATATGGAAAATCTCTCAGCAGTTGGAAACATCCCACTCAGCTATAAAGCTCTGATAAATGAACCTCATTCGAAACCTTTTAAGGCGTCACCAATACATCAGACTAATGTATTATACAATGTCCTGTCCTCCTACTTGATAAAGTCATACATCTGTATATCTCACACATTTACAAGACTCTGAAGTCTTGGTCAATTGAGTGCAATGGGGTGTAGCTTTCAGCTACACTTAAGTGAATTTAGAGGAAGCAATTATTTATATAAAATTTCTATAAAATCGTGAAGGGGTGAGGAAATGGGTAGACACAATTGTCTAACTTAAGGTATATAACGGCTCATTGAAGCTATGAATAGATCCATTTATGCATTATATGCAGAAAATGTACATTCAAATGTCAGTTTGACCTTAAGTGACAGGAGGAACAGTGCATCCTGGGACACGGACGCAGGATGCAGGTGGGACCACCAAAGCACAATACTTGTAAATGTCAATCCTCCTTCATTTTTGAAAAGTTTAGCTGTGAAAACTTCCAAGAAGCAACCAAGGAGAGACGCTGCATTCTCAGCGGTATTTATGCTGAATGAGTTCATTAACTTCATTCAAGTGTAAAGAGAGAAAAGGTGGTCTAAAGATGAGTACAGACTATACATCAGCTGTCACAGACAGAGAGAAATGATCATTGGAGTTTTCGAGCTCATGGCAGTTGCCCCGACAAAAGAAATGAGTCACTCAAACAACGTGGGGCAGCAGAAGCAGACAGCTACAAATTAAATGGTCCATTCTAGCTAGTTGTCTACTTGATGTTGCAAACCCACCCATCTCAACATGACATTGATTATTGTGCATTATGTTCTTTCTTATCACTGTCTGTGCATTGTTTTGGTGTCACAGGAAGATCGTAAATGAGGATGTAGGAACATCTGTTGGGAGGAGATGTGATGTTTGCTAACAGCAGTGTGAAATATCTTAATTTATCTGGATATCAGACACTTTACAGTACTAAAATGTCCTGTTATGGACACTGCCCTGCTAAATCAAAATGATTAGGCACTATATTTTCATAGTCCTGGAGCACTTTCTCCATCAAACGCTGATAGTTGGTGCTCCAAGCAAACTAAGAAGTGCAATGGAGGTGAATAAGGTATAGCAATGAACTGGAAAAGGCCAATATGGATCCTGAAAGTTATACTTTCTATTTGAAAATCCTTTTGAAAAATGGAACGTTTCATAGCCAGAAATCCTGTTTAATGTGCTTTGAGAGGAAATGTGTCCTTTATGACTGATCTCAAAGTTACACCCCTCACTCTTCTCCTCCTTCATTCGTCTTTAGCATTAGTTTACTCTAGAGACCATTTTCAAACATCATTAATGGGGATGAAACATTAATGAGGTAATTAAAGGCAGGGTATGTGATTTTTCAAAAACACTTTAGAAAACTGATTCGGGCCGAATAGCAAAACAGACTTGTAGCCAATCAGCGATAAGGGGCGTGTCTACTCGTGATGTGGAGGAGAGAGCTTTCAGTGCATGGGACGGACATTAGCCGAGCCGAGCGACAGAAAGATAGAGATGGCGGATAAAAAAACAAAAGAGGAAAACGTCTGCGGAACGACAAGGCAAGAAGTAGGACCCGTGTAAATATCGGATCAGCTTTCCAGCGCTGGAGAGAACTCAAGGAGCGGAGGCCTGCGATCGGACGCCGAGGTTGCTATGTTTCTTCTCAATAGGTGAGTAACACAGTGTCTACAACAGCTAAAGTCTGCCTACACCGGACGCGATCAAACGACCGTTGAAAACCATTTGAAATTTGTGTCAGCACGTCATAAATAGAACCCGGCAGCAGTTTTCTGTCGGGGATTTGTTGCGCCGCGCCGCTCACGTCCGTAGACACGGTGTAACATTGGTTTTACTTTGTTTCACAGAACTAATCGTTGCCTGGGTTGCGTACGTATATGTGGGGCGGAGCTATCAAAATAGGGGCAAGACCCTTTTGGGGTAGGGCCGTGTTTGTTTTGGTGATTTCAAATATAAACATTGGCTACCAGAAATCACTTACACTGCCTTTAATTTCATTGGCGAATAATTTCAAATCAAGCAAATCAAAATTTGCTGTCAAAATTAACACTGGTTAACATGCAGTAATTTGTTCTGTGTGTGAAAGGTGTGTGTGCAGCTGCTGGAGTGCAAGTGATAGATTCTCCACTGCTGACTCAGCAGATTGAAGCTCAGCGACTCAGTTTAAAGCACCTAAAGAACGAGAACAACAGACTAAAGGTCTCTCCTACTGCTTCACAAGCACATTTCCCCAATGCAGGCGCTGAGGATTTTTTCTCACTTTTGTTTTTGTGTGTCTGTGTGGGCCGCAGGCAGAAAAGATGCGTGCTCAGCTGGCATCTCTTCCTCCTCTGAACGTGCCAAAGCTGGGCTGGCGAGAGGGCTGCAGGCCTGAGGTGCTGTCTAGCGCCCTCTACCGCAAAACAGACCAACTGCTGGATACTCTCCTCCAGATGAGTGCCAATGTGAAAGTGGTGGACATCACTGGGAAATCTCCAGGTCTGTCATAATTAGACTTAAAAATGCAGATTTCTGTTGTTTATACAGTAATTACTTTACAGTGTTTGTGTTTTCATTAACAGTGAGTCCCAGTGCACAGCTCCTCGAGCAAACAGCAAGACTGCAGTCTACCAGAAATCGCTTACTCTGCCTTTAAGGGGGGTGGGTCATCTGTACAAGAGCAATGATAACAGTGACTCCACAATAAAAACCACTTAATGGTTCTCCATCTTCCGCCTAGAGAGCAGAAACTCTTTCAATTGTTCCCAAACATTCATTCTAAGACAAACACGCCCTTTCTCGCTCACAAAAACAAACCGCTATCTTTTTCCCTGCTCCCCTTCCCCTCCGAGCCCTATGCGGATTGATAGCAGATGAAAGAAATGCTCAGCAAACGGCGAGCAGCGCTTCAGGGCCTGTGAGAGAGGTAGAAGTGATTATTGCATTGATTAGGAGAACTGAGGCCACGGTTACAGCACTCCCAGTCCACACTGAACAGCCCTGCACTCAACCCTGACAAGCCTTCAATTGATCCTCTTCAACCTGACACTCTCATATCTGCACTGAGAGGAAAGAGAGAAGTGGCTAGGAAAGAAAGAAAGAAAGAAAAGAAAGAAAGACAGAAAGAAATTAAGAAAGAAAGACAGAAAGAAAGAAAGACAGAAAGAAATTAAGAAAAAAAGAAAAAGAAAAAGAAAAGAAAGAAAGAAAGAAAGAAAGGATTAATAGTAGCCAAAATGGAAGAAAAGACATACAGATAAAGACGGATAAATTAACAGAACGAATGATAGAGCAGTAGACAGAACGTTACCATCAAAAATAGACAGATAAAAAGTTATAACAGACAGACAGAATGAGGAAAAGAGTGTTAGAACAACACAAAGAAGGATAGGAGGATAAATAGAATGACAAAATGAAAAATGACAGAATTATAAAAAGAACGTTAGAACAATAGATAGACAGAACAAAAAATGATAGATAGAATAATAGAACAACAGGAAGAATTATAGAATGATGAAGGAACCGCAGAATGATAAAACTATAGAAAGAACAAGAAATTGAATTATTTATCCAAGATAGAAGAACAGACAGAATGAAACGTTTTATAGAATTTATAGGATGGTATATAGAATGATAGACACACAGATAGAATGACAGAGTGATAGAACAATAGATAGAATAGAATGATGGAACAAAAGAAAAATAGAAAAGACAGAATGATAGAAAAATAGAGAGCAATAGATAGAATGACAGAAAAATAAAAACTTTTTATTAAACTTTTAAGAACTTTAAAATGCTTATGTATAAATATAATCAACTACAGACAGACAGACAGATAGACAGATGGAAAGTTGGATGGATAGATAGACAGACAGAATGAAAAATAGTGATAAAGTGATAGAATGATCAATTGATTGATAGACAACAATCAATCTATCAAGATAGTCAGACAGACAGACAGACAGACAGACAGACAGATAGACACATAGATAGATAGATAGATAGATAGAGAGATAGAGAGATAGATAGATAGATGCAACGATTTATAGAATGACAGAAGGAATGATAGATAGACCAGCAGACATACAGAATGGCAGGTAGAACAATAGATAGAATGATACAACCCCTTCCTGTATAACTGGTCTGTTGGTCTGGTAAAGCAGACTTCATGTCGATAGTTAAAAGGTCTGTCTACTGAAGGCTAGAAACATCAGACATATAAGACACAAGACAAACCTACTGGGCTTCTGATGAGATTTCAGTTTTGACATTTGGCAGAGACATCGAAGAAGGGACAACATCCTCAAGACAAGATCTTCTCCAGACAGATGCATCGACACACGACAGATAGACAGATGGAAAGTTGGATGGATAGATAGACAGACAGAATGAAAAATAGTGATAAAGTGATAGAATGATCAATTGATTGATAGACAACAATCAATCTATCAACATAGTCAGACAGACAGACAGACAGACAGATAGACACATAGATAGATAGATAGATAGAGAGATAGAGAGATAGATGCAACGATTTATAGAATGACAGAAGGAATGATAGATAGACCAGCAGACATACAGAATGGCAGTTAGAACAATAGATAGAATGATACAACCCCTTCCTGTATAACTGGTCTGTTGGTCTGGTAAAGCAGACTTCATGTCGATAGTTAAAAGGTCTGTCTACTGAAGGCTAGAAACATCAGACATATAAGACACAAGACAAACCTACTGGGCTTCTGATGAGATTTCAGTTTTGACATTTGGCAGAGACATCGAAGAAGGGACAACATCCTCAAGACAAGATCTTCTCCAGACAGATGCATCGACACACCAGCATCTTCCTTCTTTACAGTCTCTCTGGTTTCTCTCTACTGGAGGGATAAATCGTGACCAGTGAGAAGCCTCTGAAAGAGGCACCAAAACTCTCTCATAAAGACCCTCAACTCACTACAAATCGTCACCTTGGAATTATAAGGTTCTATCTGCCAATTTAGTCAAAACTGAGTTATTCACATATTCTTATTCTGTGACAACTTAATTACATTATGTGATTTTTTGTGTTGTGTACATTTTGGGACTGATGTATGAAAGAGACTTGTTCCCCCTATCCCATATCACTATATGGAATGCAAAAACTTTGAAAGCTCAATATCTCGAAACTTCTCAGAATGCAGATAGAGCCTTACAATTCCAAGGAGATGAAACGTCCACAAAGGGACTGAAGAGAAACAGAAACTCATCTGCTTCTAGTCGCTCTTCACCTGTGGAAAGAAAAAGACAAGCGAAAAACAAAATCTTGAGAATCTCTCAGGGAAAGCTACTGTATGAACCATTCATGGTAAAGTGAGCTCTTCAAAACTTTGGCACATTTGAAGACGGGTGATGAGAGAAAAGACAGGCCATCCACAAAAGAAAAAAATATATATGAAAAATTAAATATGTATGAAGATTGATCCATCCGGCTCAAATACAGAAGAGTTTGCACTTTTCCTAAAAGAGATTAGTCTCCACCACACACAAAAAAATAAAAACCACAGAAAAACCTCCAAGAGAAAGACAGAGAAAAAGTGATGGAGACATTAAAGGCCTCAAATCAAATTATGTTTCTCCACCATATGGCTATCAAACAAGCTCACACAGATCACTGTCTTACAAACAAAGCTTAGCCAATCAAAACAGTCTGGAGATACATTCAGCACAGCTGTGACGCACTTTGGATGGAAGTAGAGTGTTCAAGCGGCCTTTAAATCAGTACGGTTGGACATTATAACATCCCCCGTGATATATTTCTACTTCTGTATACAGAAACCCATTAAGAGCGATGCTAATGTCATACAAATTGGCATGTCAGCCAGAAAAAACGATGGTTTTCTCTTTCATTCCCTCCAGAACGCCGGCACCCGGCTCTCTTGTATTTTTCTTGTTCCTCTCCCCCTACTCCGCTGTGCTTTGGCCTGGAGGGAATGTGAATAATTCTGTTGCGGTACTGGTCCTGGCAAGCCGCGGCTGCTAGCGGCTCCTCTAATTCAATCACACGGCTCAGTCTGATCAATGGGGACTGTGCAGTATGCCGGCAAACCTGAGCTCACCTTGGATCATGTGGGGATCTACTCCAATGGCTTTTTCTTCTCTAATTAATTAACCCAGACATGACAGCCAGCAACTGTGAGGGCAACAACTCTACTGCTAAAGTTCTGTATGTTTGCGTGCCTCTAAGCGATAGCAACTCAAAGATCGAAATGTGTCTAGACATACCTTGCTAATATGTGCGGAGGTGAAACATCACTTTCAGGTATCAGAAAGTCAATGGCTATGTTTAGAACACAATACTACCATACTATTTCTGGAGTATGAATCATGAATTCTATGCTCTGTATTAGGGATGCAATAAACATTCACAAAATATTGGTTATCAGCCATGAAGGATGAATTCTTTGATTTAAAAGTAGGGAATCATATTGGGTATTTAAATACTTTTAAGATTTAGATAACTCCTGCCACTCTTTAATAAAATTTGTTTAGATTAGATTTACAATATATACGATTTATCAGTTATTGGACATAACATGAAAATAATTATTGGCTCATCAGATCGCAGTTATTGGCTTGTATTCAATATTGTGCAACTCTATACAGTATGTTTATTTTCTATGTACAGGGAATAACTGACGTACACTACATTGATGGAGAAATAATAAGAAGAAATGTTTTTGAGCAGCAAATCAGCATAATAGAATGATTTTTGAAGGTTTATGTGACACTGAATACTGGAGTAATGGCTGATGAAAATTCAGCTTTGCCACCACAGGAATAAATTACATTTTAAAATATATAACAATTGAAAATAGTGATTTTTAACTGTAATAACATGCCACATTTTTACTGTATTTTTTTTAACTGTAAAAAAAAGCTTTGATGAGCATAAGAGACTTCTTTCAGAAACATTTTACTGGCCCCAAACTTGTACATTGTGAAATAATATTTACTTAATCTGAATTTCATTGGTATTTCAGTAAAATTCCTAAAACAAGATAGTTTTACTTGCAAAGCAAAACTGTGTAAGATAATAAGACTTATTTTCAGAGAATATACATACATATTTCATGTTAGTAAACAACAGTAAGTAGTATACAATGTATACTCCATTCTAAAAGTATAGTAATAATTCCTTACATTTATATAGCGCTTTTCTGGGCACTCAAAGCGCTTTACATAGAAAGGGGGAATCTCCTCAACCACCACCAGTGTGCAGCATCCACCTGGATGATGCGACGGCAGCCATCTTGCGCCAGAACGCCCACCACACACCAGTTTATTGATGGAGAGGAGACAGAGTGATGAAGCCAATTAGCAGATATGGGGATGGTTAGGAGGCCATGATGGTCAGAGGCCAATGGGCGAATTTGGCCAGGATGCCGGGGGTACACCCCTACTCTTTTTCGAAGGACATCCTGGGATTTTTAATGACCACAGAGAGTCAGGACCTCGGTTTAACGTCTCATCCGAAGCACGGTGCTTTTTACAGTATAGTTTCCCCGTCACTATACTGGGGCGTTAGGACCCACACAGACCACAGGGTGAGCACCCCCTGCTGGCCTCACTAACACCTCTTCCAGCAGCAACC